ATTTTAAAAATCGAGGCTTTTTCTAATTTTTGAGCATGATAAACACATCTACATATTTTTAATAAAAATACAATCGAATTCCTACCTGCATTAATAAAGGCAGTTTGGTTTATTAAAAAAATGTAAAACAAATGGATGAGGTAGTTCACTGTCAACCCCGATAAAACCAGTGTTGGTGAGAGTGCAGGGAAATGATCACTTTTGCATACTGCTAATGATGCCACCCTTTCTGACAGCAATTTGTGTCAGAAGCCGTGGATCCTGCATACTGTTTGACCCAATCTTATGATTTAAGTACTATTATACCATTTATCAATGAAGAAACTGAAATTCAGAAAGACTAAGTAACTTTCCAAGGTCATATAACAAGTTAGTGGTGGAGCTGGGTTTTAAACCCCTAGCTCTCTGATCCAAAATATACACTTAACTTTTTGCAAACCTCATTCAGTAATAATGGGATTTGTTTTCTGAAAGTAGTGTTATAATGCAACAATATGCAGCAAGTTAAAATGCTGTACAAGAATATATAATGACATGGAAAATTTTTACAAAATTATAAATAGTAAAAATAAGTTTAAAAACAATATGGATCTTAATTTAAAGTATATAAATATGTAAATAAAGCTACATGTGACACATACACAGATGCACATCTAAAGAGACTGATGAGATCACAGGTGATTTACTTTCTTCACTTTGTTTACCTGGTTTTCCTAAATTCTCTACCTTTGTATTGTATAAAAAAAATAAAGATGCTCAATTTTAGTTCTGAAATTCTGAACTTGCAATCTTAAGACATAGTCTACAAAACTCTTAATGATGCTTGACTAGGGTAAGAATTTATGACAAAGACTTCAGTGGCCATCACAACAACAAAGATTAACAAACGGGACTTAATTAAGCTAAAAAGCACAGCTAAGGAAGCAACAAGTAAAGCAAAAAGACAACCTTCAGAATGGGAAAAGATATTTGCAAGGTATCGATGTGACAAAGAGTTGATAACTAGAATCTATAGAGAACTCAAATTAATCAACAGAAAAAGGGTAAATAATCTCATATACCTCTGGGCAAGAGATATGAATAGAACCTTCTCTGACAAAGACAGACGAATGGCTAACAAACGTGAAAAAATGCTTGTTGTCCCTGATCATCAGAGAAATGCAAGTCAAAACCACCCTGAGATATCACCTAACCACAGTGAGATGAGCCCACATCACACAGTCTCAAAGCTGCAGATGCTGGCGTGGATGTGGAGAGAAGGGAACACTGTTACACTGCTCGTGGGACTGCAAACTAATACAACCTTTTTGGAAGGAAGTATGGAGTATCCCCAAAGAACTCAAATTAGACCTCTCATTTGATCCTACAATCCCATTATTGGACCCAGAAGAAAAAAATCATTTTATCATAAAGATATTTGCACTAGACTGTTTATTAAAGCTTAATTTACAATCACCAAAACATGGAAACAATCTAAAAATGCTCACCAATCTAGGAATAGATTAACAAGCTATGGTATATGTACACCATGGAATACTATTCAGCCATTAAAAAAGATGGAGACTTTACATTCTTTGTATTAACCTGGATGGAAGTGGAACACATTATCCTTAGTAAAGCATTCAAAGACTGGAGAAGCAAGAATCCAGTGACTCAATTCTAATATGAAGGCAGTAGATTATTTAATACAAGGTGTGGGGTAGGGAATGAAGGATCAGGGAGAGGGGAGGAGGGAGCCGGATGGGAGTCACGGTGTATGGCACACCTCTTGGGGGTGGGACACAATTATAAGAGGGCGTTTACCTAACAACTGAAATCAATGTAACCTAATTCTTTGAACCCTCAATGAATTGCAAGCAATTAAAAAATCATATAAGAATTAAAGAAACAATATCAATTTGAAAATAAATTATGACAATTCTGTAGTGGTCCATCTTGAAATTTGTCTTACTATAAGTCTAAGAACTATAATCTCCTAAGGTTATTTACACTGGAATTGTATAGCAAAAGGAAGAAACTACAGAGAAATTGGGCAAGGTGACAGCAAAAATCTTTAGTATGAATATCATTACTCCATGCTCTAATCCACAAATCCTGCACTCGGGTTTGAACCTTAACCTGCAACTAGAGTATGGTCCAAATAAGGCACTCCACAGTTAGTGAAAAAGAATTGTCAAGAACTTATGTTTATGTATTGATAAAGGATAAGGATAACAAAGGCTTGCTCACTTTCCCATGTTGATCTTCACTAGTAAAACGACTCATGTTTGTTCAGTCTGCAGCTTCTTTCCACATGACTTCCAAGGTGTTATTTTAACACGAATGGAACTCACTGAGTAATGTGACTGACTGAGGAAGTGCCAGTTCATGCAAATATTAACCTCCAGTTCTGTCCCAGCAATGCGAATATTCTTGTTGGATTTGTTGAAAGGCTCTAAGAGGAAGGAAGAGACACTAGTGAGAATTTCCCTTAGATAAAACATGCTTCAGTTTAAAGAAATCCTGCTCAATTATATTCTCCAAATATCATATACTAGATGAGATGAGCAATTTAACACGGAAGTTGGAAACCTTGCTTTTTGTTGAGAATTTTTTTTCCTGCCAAACTTCCTATTGTTATAATGCAAACACATACACTTAATGAATAAGAGAATTTTCTTTCCACTTGCTTTCTGGGTAAAGACTGGTTCAGTTTTAGTTAGGGGCCAAGACAGAAGAGTTGTTTTATTACCATACATCCTTTCCACAGGTTGAAGCAGTAACTGTTCACAGGTCTTTATTTGAATTTTTATTGCATTTCTAAGTATTAAATTTCCTACTCAACAGAGAATTTTGAAAATACCAAAAAGCCCAAGAAAGATTAAAATCACTTACAATCTTACCACTAAGAAAAAAATCCTTATTATTAATAGTAAAATTACTAAGTTGATAATCAGTTTAAAATGGTACAGTAAAAGGTCTAGAACACTGGGGCAGAAATAGAAGGAACCAACAGAAAAGTAAAGGCATTTGAATTCTCTTTGAAATGAGGAAAAAGAAATTACTTACTTACAAACATGTTTCCCAGATTCCCTTCCTTTTTGGAAGTATCCACAAAATAGAATCAATATGATTAAGACTGTAGGAGTCTCTCACCTGGGTTATATGCTTACTCATCCCTATTGTTTTTACTGTATAAAAGAAAAATATTTTCAGTAGTCAGACATGTACATAAAGGTGCCTAATTACCAAATTATAGTATGAATGAATGAAGGTCTAGGCCAGGGGTTCTCAATCTTCCTAATGCCTCCTAATGCTGTGACCCTTTAATACAGTTCCTCATGTTGTGGTGACCCCCAACCATGAAATTATTTTCGTTGCTACTTCATAACTGTAATTTTGCTACGGTTACGAATCGTAATGTAAATACCTGATATGCAGGATGTATTTTCATTGTTACAAAGGGGTCATGACCCACAGGTTGATAACCGCTAGTCTAGGCAAACTATCATCAAAATCCATTACTTTTAGTCTTTTTAACTCCCAAAAGAATAAAGATTTTTCTTGTACAATTTAAGCTTGTTAAACATCTTCTGCTACTAGTTTCCAATGGAAAATTCCCATACAACTGTGGGTAAAGAAACCTGTTAGTTAGAAAGAGACACACTCAAGAGTCATGTGGAAAAGGACTTGAGGAGACAAAATTGTTTTAGTGTAGAAAGTCTATTTGGTATTTACAGCATATTTCTTGGATGATATGTTTCATGTGACCTATGTCTATGAAAGTAAGGGTTCTGTGGACAAGTACCACGTACCTTTGAGAAATGCTTTACCGTAAACCTTCTTCTTGAGCTTATTATATACTAGCACATTAAGGGCTCTGAGCACTTAAGACAGAAAACAATTTACCTTTGCTTCAAATAATGTTTCCCAAACCTCTTTGACCATGAAACCTTTGGTTAATAACCTGAGAAACTCCAGATTTGAGGAACACATTTTATGAATGCTACCTTAAGTATGTATCATTGTTCATGGTCTTTAGCCATATTCATAATCCAGAGTTAACCAAGCTCAACAACGCTCACTCTTCTGCCTACACTTTCATAGACTAAAGTTGGTAAATATACAGTGATCGCTATTTACTTTAAAAAGTCAATATGCATGAGTAAATTTTAAGGTATGTAAGTGATATCTCAGTATAGTTGTTTGTGTTAGTATCTGTGTTTTTTAAGAATCCAATATGTTTATGTTCCAGAAATACTGAAAAGTAGAGTTACTTGGTGAACATGGTTATCAGGGAAAAAGGAAGATAGTTTTAAAGAAAATTTTATTCTGGCTAAGGTGATTCATTCCTGTGCTACAAGAAAGGATACATCTATAGTTACTATGTGTTCTAGACTTATGCTTCTCTCCCCAATTCCATCTCTTATAATTTTTCTTTCCAAATGTTCTGGCTAACACTTATAATCTATGTAAGTCCTCCAATAATATAAGAGAGCGAATGCATACTCCAGGGTGGAAATGAGCAGCAGGGGCCATAGGCCAAAACAGCCCACCTGAAGGGCAGCATTTCTTTTAAACCTCACGTTCTTATGCGTACATACATGTGAAAAAATATTTTAAGAATGCAAAGACTTATAAATTCCCAATCTTTAGGGGTAACTGATATAGAAAGAGTATGTGTTATATGTTTGTTAACTTTATGTACCCTAATGTACATCAAATATATCCTACTTGACAAGTAAGGCTCAAAGCTAAAAATCTCCCTTCTATTTTTATTAGTTTGTTCTAGAAGCAAAAATCAACACATTTGATGTAAGTTTTAAATCAGAATCATACCTCATGCATCCCTCCTAGGTTAACATTAATACATGAAAAGATGATCTCATTTGCAGCCATGGATGTATTATATCAGCTAAATAAATTTCTATGGTTACTTTCAGTTTCTTTATTTCTTGGTTCTTTGAGATACTTTGTTGCTGTCACAAATAACAAATAGAAAAAAGGAGATGACATGTTTTATATGCAAACTATTTATTGAACTATTATATTTAAAATATTACTCTTCAAAGAGGCCACAAAAGTTACAGCATTTGGAAAGTTCAGGTAAGACTCTTCAAGGGTAAGTTATTTCTTTTAATGTTTTTAGCCTGCTTGAACTAAGTTTAGCAATCAGAAACTATTTTTTTATTAGAAACTTTTAGTGGATTCAGACTCAGTTTCTGCTAGTACTGTGTAGAGCATCCACGATGGTTTTATTGTATTCTGCAATCTGCTTGGTCACATTCTTCATTATTGGCCGGTAATCACTTTCTTGACTCTTGGTTGCTATGACTAATTACACGGGTTAAGGGAGAACAATATCAATAAAAACTACTAATCTAAGTGTGACTCAGAAAGCAACTAAATCATACTAGTATTTTTCTTACTGAAAATAAGAAGACATAGAAAAAATACAATTAGAATACTTTAAAATGCTGTGTTATTTTAATAGATCAAACATTAATTGAAACCAAAACGCCAAACAAAATTTATTTCAAAAAAATTCACCTACAGTAAAAACACTTTTTAAAACTTAATATATTATGTATCTCAATATAATTCTAATCTTAGAACAATATAATATTCAGAAGAACGATGTTCTTTAGAGTACCACATAGGATTTTAGGAAAGTTTCTAGACTTCATTCTGTTTCAAAACCACCTACTTCATATTGTATAAAACTAGAGTGCTGGTCTTTAAGCATACTGTGAATATGAGTTTTTTGCTTTTAAATTAAGGGCACTACCACTGAGAACATAGCTCCTAAAACATTTTTTTTTCCTTTGAGATAGAGTCTTACTCTGTCACCCTTGATAGAGTGTAGTGGCATCATCACAGCTCAACCTCAAATTTCTGGGATCAACAATCTTCCTGCCTCAGCCTCCCCAGCAGGTGGGTCTATAGGTCACTGTCACGATGCGGGGCTAAATGTTTCTATTTCTGGTAAAGACAGATGTCTCACACTTCCTCAGGCTGGTATTGAACTCCTAACTTCAAGTGATCTTCTCACCTTGGCCTCAAAAATGTCTTATGTGGTACTCAAGAGAACATGGTTCTTCTGAATATTACGCTGTTCTAAGTAAGCTGGGATCTATGTTGCCTCTGAGCTGAAAGCCAGCACACCCCAGAAGACAACCTATATCAGAGCCAAGAGGTACTGCTCAGAGCAGAGATGGTCTTTAATAGGTCAAAGGAGGAAATAGAAAACAACATTTAGGAAAATGTTTATTACAATTCCATACTACATATCCCAGCAGCTACTTGCTGTCTCCTATAATCACACAAAAAGATAAGCAGTAAGATGGAACACAGGAAACCTCCAGGCAGAAACGAGATAAAGTTGAATTGGCTGAAACATGGATGAGCTTGAAGGTCAACTTTTCATGACTCTAGTTTACCTCCTTTTGCTGCTAAAACATCCAAGTTACAGCAGTATAAACAATAACAATGATATATCATTTATTATATAAATATATGAGGGCTGTCCACAAAGTATCTAGGCACATAAAATTAAAAGTAGTATTAACAATTGCTGGATACTTTCCAGACAGCCCTTGAATGTTTTACATATATGGTTATATATAAGTCTATCAACAACTCCATGAGAAGGAGATATTGACTGTGTTTAGAGATAAAATTATGGCTTAAACAGTTTAAATAAATTGTCCCAAGTCCATAACTTGAAAGTGGTAGAGCTACTGCTATCTGACTCCAAAACCCATGCACTGAACCACTATGTTGACTCCAAGACCTGTGCCCTTAATTACTATGCCACATTAAGGCTCTGTATTCCAACTCTGGCAACTCCTAGAGGCTGCTTTCTATTAAGTACTTTGGGGTACACACACACACACGCACAAATACCAACTATTATAGACAGGAAACTATGTCTTATTCATTTATATCACAGAGTTTAGCTCAATGTTTTATACATATTAGGTAATTGGTAAGTATATGTTGAACTAAATTTCATCTGAGTCTTTAAAGAAATTCCTGGGAAAAAATAACTTAGTTAAGTTCATTTGCAGCTTTTTAAAGGATACATTCTTTCATCACAAAATTATTTTGCTCATGGTGTTGCCACTTTCTCTCCAAATTTGTAAGCTAAAAACATAAAAGAAAAATGTTAACTAGTACCCATATTCAAAACAATTATATGCCCATCTAAGAGGATTAAAAAAACCCATTCAGTTTAAATCTTTTTAAAATTAATTTTTAATTAAAATCATAACTGTATGCTTAGAGGGTACAATGTGTGATGATTTGATATACAACACGGATGCTTAAATCAAACTTATTAACATTGCTATCATCTCACTTACTTATTTTTGTGGTAAGACATTTAAAATTTACTCTTGATTTTTTCCTAAAAACCTATTCAGTATAAATCTTATCAACTCCTAACATTTTGCTGAGATAAAGCCACCCTAGACAAAAAAGAAATTTAGGAAAGATTAAACAATAGTAAATACATTAATACAATGTTGACTTCTATAATAGGTTTTACTGTATATGTTTATTTTAATTAGAAAGTATTTAAAATGTTTATTATACCACTGATCATGCCAACTGAAAGATAATTTATGATTTTCCTTTTCCTAAAAGAACTTAAAAAAGAATGGGACATGATGGTAATCTCTCCTTGAAATCTGGACGTCTAATGCCACCAATGTAATATATATTCAAACACTGTCAAAGGTTTAGCTATATAGGAGAAACTTCCTTATTTCCAGGGCTAAATTTCCTGTCTAATTCCACAAGCTGTGATAAGAGCAGAGCTGCAGTGTGAAGATTATAAGAGCGCTGGTAAAAAGCTGGCCCTGTTACAATAATTCTGCATCAACAGGAAACTAATGTGGACATTATATTGATGGTTGCTTCCTCAGAAGACAATTTTACTGTTATAGAATTAAACCGTTTTTCTGATTTAATTAACCTTGTAACTCTGGGTTATGGTCTTTCTTTTTTAAGATGCACATAGTTTTTTCCTAAGCAAAGGACTGTTTGAAAAATGAAATACTAAAATAATGTTTTGCTGGGACATTTCAAAGAAGCAGTGATCATTTTTTAAAGTATGATAATTAAAGCAGCATTTGTTTCTTTCTACTCTAAGGTTAAAATTATTTTCAGGGTATAAATTCAGTCTTGAGGTAGCATCCATCCTATTGTTTCCTCCAAAGAGATAAATCTAGATAAAAGAATGAATCATAACTAATAAATTATGTAAACCGTATGTGCTGTGAGCTAATGCTACTAAATCAGATCTAACCCAGATAGGACCTTGAAGTTAAGATGGATTTAAGGAAGCAGTCAGCACTTTTTGGCAGTAAATCTCTAACAACTTTTTGCAAAGTCAAGTACAAAAATGTTTTTATCTTTGTTTCATACAAAGAGGTGGCCTTCTTACAATGTAGTAGACCTCTTAAGTGCTACACAAAGAATGATATAAAAAGCAACACTATGCCAGACGGTCAAATTCCTTTTACTTCTCTGTTATTGATTTGCCTGCCCAAGAATATCATGAAGCACAAAACTCATTTTTCAAAAATGTTTCTCCCTGTAACTTCATCCCTTCTCCTCCTCCCCACCCTTCTTATTACTGCTACTATTATTATTACAATTAGGATCTCATTCTGTCATCTAGGCTAACATGCAGCTCATTACACCCTTGAACTCCTAGGCTCAAGTGATCCTCCTGCCTGAACCTCCTGAGTAACTAGGACTATAAGCATGTACCATCAAGCATGGCTAATTTTTAAAAAATTTATAGAGATGGGGTCTTGCTATATTGCCCACACTGGTCTCAAACTCCTGGCCTCAAGTGATTCCCCTCTCTCTCAGAGTGCTGGGATTATAGGCATTAGCCACAGCACCTGGCCTATATAACTTATTTAAATAAGCTTAATGTAAAATTATTTATGAATGCCAAAAGCCAGTTTTCCAGTTGCAAAAGATAGGAAGACAAGGATTTAATTTAATCAATTGGGATTAACAAAAGACAACAAATAATACAGACAAAGCTTTAAAATTGTGGCTTGCACTATGATTTCCAGTTATCAATATGTAGAGTTAAGAATATGATTAGTTTGGCACACCTTTTATGTGTGGGACATAACCACAAGAGGGATTCTACCTAACAAAATCAAATACTTTGACCTGGTTGTTCATACCCTCGCATTAACCTGAAATAAATTTACTTTTCCAAAAAAACCTTAAGGCTTGGCGCCTGTGGCTCAAGTGGCTAAGGCGCCAGCCACATACACCTAAGGTGGTGGGTTCGAATCCAGCCCGGCCCGCCAAACAACAATGA